TTGTTTTATTTTTGAATTAGAATCTAATTCAAAAATTAAAAGAATCTCATTTCATTTTTTTGTGTTCTTTTTGGATCAAAAATCTTTTGGCCCATCGACAAAAACCTTGCCCATTTTGCCCATCGTTTTTTTCCGATACAACAGAAGTTTGCCTATTGGACTAAAAATTCTGGTTACGCCGCTGTCAATAACCTATGTTCCATGTGTTTTGAAAGTTCCCAAACATGAAGTTTAACCGATAGGTAGGTCCTGTGAAAATGCTCGGATAGGGAATAAGAATTTCGAAATTGTGTAGTTTTAAAGAGGGCAGTCTAGAGATTCGAATAAACCTGTCAGAATTCAAAATACATTATTTCTCTGGAAATGGGGAGCTTTCAGATTTTGTTCGACAAGATGCACCATGAGGCCTAATTTCTCCATAGATTCCTTTTTCAGTAGGTCTTCTATCAAATACTGGAAACCGCATAGTTGTAACTCTTTCTGTTAAAAAGTTATTCAAAAAATACTTTTTTCCATCCTATTTTGAAATGGATAGTAGATCACTAAATTTTACGCTTTTTCTCTGCTTTAACATCAAACATCACATAATTCATGAATTTATTATATTCCAAGAGAAATTTCGATGTCATATACTCAAATTCTCTGAACGCTGTCAGGGAATGTGAATATTCCCTAGGGAATGTATACATTCCCTGATTTCCTACATTCTCTGTAACATACATATTCCATGATAAGGAGCAGAAATAAAGACTTTTTTGACGTGTTTGTTAATAGTCAGATTTTTTTGCGTTAATTTACCTTATTTTTACATCTCTAATCACCTCACTTATCACATTACTTATCAACAAATTCAAATATTTAGCCGTGTTGTGATTATAAGCACCATAACTAGAATAACGGGACGAACAGAAAGATTACATTTGTGCATCTCAGGTAGGAAGTAAGCGTCTGGTGTACCTGATTATAATCACAACACAGCTAAATGTTTGGTTAACTTATTATTACCAGCAATGTCATATTTGAAAGATTCTTTTGAATTTGTTGATAGAATCAAATTAGAATTAAAATTAGTTGTAACACCTTGTTAACTGAAGAGCAAAAAAAAGAAAGTCCGTTCTTCGTGATTATTTGACACCTTCCTTGACGCCTTTTTGCATGATACCAACGTAGAGTAAGCATTTAATTATATATAGTACATTGTATTTAAATACCACTAGTAATTAGTTTATAATCCTTTGTATGTTGAATCATCGTTTATATCTCGAGCAGCTTCTCTGAATGATATCTGTTGTTGATGCTTTATTGACTTCTGGAAATATTTTGTTTGCTAATCGTGCTAAATTTGTTGCTAGATATGTACTTTCGCCAAGCTCAATGCCTCTAATACATATTCACAAGTTGCACTATATGTTGGTGTATTTTTTAAAAAAAGACAGATCCCTCTTAATTTTTGAGATATGTGGCTCTCAGTATTGAAGACTATTGAGCTACATTTACGTTAAACGATGTGTTAAATTCTTCACATGTATTTTCTAGTGCTTAAACTAAACGTTTTTTGTACAAACTCTTCTTTGCAACTAAAATGAAGTTAAAAACCATATCATGATCATTTAGTTTTTCTGTCAAACATACCACAAAAGCTAACTAAAACATACACAAGCTAGAAACCCAGTATTTTATTTGTTGCTCTATTTGGATTTTTTTTGTGATTGACGATTCTACCAGTTTTATAAAAAGACAGAATTGAAAAGTTTCCCACGAAAGTTTTCATTTACATTCTACACGATTTCTAACGAGATAGAATTGGGGGAAATTTTCTGGAATGAAGTTTGGTTGAATGAACTTTGCCGGAAAATAATGTGCTCGAATAGAATTTGCTCGAACGGAAACCTCCTCGAAACACGAAAGATGAAGACAAAAAATTGTTTTAACTAAATTTTGGTATTATGGGTTTTGTCATGAATATAAGAAAATCCAGCATGAATCGTTAAAGGTTTTGATTTAGAATTTGTAGAAAAAGTTGCCATGTTTACAGTACCAATCGATTGTTTCAAGTGTGAAATGTATAAATTTACACAGGTGTACATGTCGCATTCTCTAACGTGTGATTAGGTGAGAGTGAGGGTGATTGAGATTACAAATGGGGCGTAACCAACAGTATGTAACAGGTTGGGCTGGCCGTATGTTGGAACGCTGAAATGTAAAGATGATTTAGCAATCTTGTAAATGGAATATGTTACAGTAAAGTAAGTGCAGTATATTACTGAAAAACTTAGGATCTTCTTGTCAATTTGTGAAAGATCTTATTTTTGCAAAATATCTTGAAATTCTATCCTATTTTTCTCTCTCTTTTTGAGTTTTCTCGATTTTCGTAACTAAATTATTCTTTCTCTTTTTCTGATTACATCATTTTTCAAAGATTCCTGATTCTTAATTTTTCCGATTGCATCAGTTTTCGAAAAGCTCCTGATGCTTGATTTTTTCTAATTGCAGCTTTTTGGGATGTATATATAGCTGTGATTTTCTTCATTTCAGTCATTATATATTTACTGGATATTTTTTGAAACCTGTAAACGTTTTTCAAAAAAGTGAACTTTCGGTATATGGTTGGACGAAGCTTCTGAAACGTTGTAAGACATGGAGTAGAAAATGGGACTTATCTCACTTCCGGGACTACGCAATATTTCCAAGGTCTCGTAGGATCTATTGCAACTTGAAATTTATCGTACATCGTTCAAATGTATCTTGAGTGACTGCGGAGGTGAGAGTGAGTTTACCAAAAATCCTCCTAGGTGAGGGTTTTGAAATTGTTCACACAAAATTTCTAATGTTGTTTGACAAATAATGATAAATTGAAGAAGAAGAAATTAAAGTGGAAAAAGACAAAAAAGAGACTGAAAGCTTTACCCAATTTTTTGAGTATTTTATTTTTATTTTTTTTTTGTGTGCACTAAGAGAAGTACGGTAGATGAAGTAAAGCGCAATGGGTGAAAAAAAGAATGAAAATGGTACGGACGTTGTTTCATTAATTGCTTGGTTAAATAATAAAGCGTTTTTCTGGTGATATTTTGTCTTTGTTTGAATTGAAAAACACATGTTTTTAAAAATACGACGATGAATATTGAATACACAAAAATGGAGCGTTGAACACGAGAATTGAGATAAATCTCAATCCCTTACTCCATGTCACCAACCAAACGCTTTTAATCACGTGGTCTACACTTCCTTTGTCTATTCTGAATATTAAAAATGCCGATATTTGAGAAGCTCAAGTTATAGATTTTGCACAAACTCTTGGCTTTTGAAGTATTTTGCAACTTATTCGGTCCCGAATCATTTGTACTAAAAACTAAGGTGATATTCGGAATCAGCGTCAAAAACTGCATCGAATGGTATGTGTTCGAGGTATTTCCGAACAAACAAGTAATTCGTTTCAGTGTAATGTGACAGTTTTAGCGTATCGACACGGCAATTTTGACTTGGCATGTGGACACGTGCTAGAAAAATGTACAAAAGTCTCTAAGCACTCTTTTTATAGGTTTTCGTATGTGCTCCTTCGAGAAGATGATTTTCAGACTTTCAAAGTATGGCTGTACTGGTTTTCCAGACATCCCGTCTGCCCACTGTGCGCGGCTAGATTAGGCTTTGGCTTGTGTTTACACGATTTTGGTTTTTGACATAAGGAGACCGCTCGTACGAAATGTAACAGCCATTACTTTCTATTTTGATTTTTTCTGATGATACGCAACTGGAATCGATAATATAGCATATCCCATTCTAGGATCAAAAATCATCCTGAAACTTATAGCCGCTATTTAATAAAATCATGAACAGATGTCTGCTACTTAGCCATCATTACATGATTCAATTTTAAGCAAACGACAAAATCAAAATCCTCGATTTTTGACAAAAGAAACAGATAAGTCTAATGGATATGAAAAAGTATCGTTACTTCATCGCATTACACTTTGCCTGACAGTTGTCTTCAGTGACGCATATAAATATGATCAGACAAAATGAAGAAAAAGAGAGCATAAGTAATAACAAGAATAATCAACAACAAGAGTTGGGAATCATTAGCAAATTTTGCAAAAATAAATGTCATACATAGTAAATAGTTTCTGCCTGTTATTGAAAAGAAGTTATTTATTGCATAAAATTTTAGATTTCTATGGGAGCAATGAAAACATTCGAAAAAAAGAAACGAAAAAAATCACTGTCACAACCCGTTATACATATGGTCATGATTTTTAAATGGAAGAAGTAAACATAACTTTTTCTATCATAAACGCAAAAGTTATGTTCGTCATTGGTTTACTTTGTTTCAATCTCTCTTTTTATCCTGCTCTTACTTTTTATCTTTCAAATCCTATTTTGTCAAAACAAGTTCGTCGTATCAAATGTTCTAGTGGTGACAATGATCAATATGTAGACGGAAATGATTATTGTATTGCGATTAATTATGATGATCAATTCACTTATCAAAAAGATTTCAGTTCAAATGGAAATTATTATAGGCAAATGACGTTATCTCGTTGCACTGGTTTTACAAATAAAACGGATATTGGAGATGGTAAATGTAGAAAACGTTCATATGACTTACCTGGTCAAATGACTATTTGTATTTGTATAACCTCAATGTGTAATTATGCTGTGAGCTCATGTAAAGAGTCAAATAAAAAGACTCAAGTTCATCCTCCTCCCGCCTTTTCGCCCGTAATCAGAACTCTGAAGCAAATAATTAAATGTAGCTTTTATCTGCCTCCTGGTATCTATTCAGATGGACAATGTAATGCACTCTATTGGCAACAAGAACCGCCGCCATTTAATGTATGTCAGAAATATTTTGAGCAAAATTCTGTTTTATGTCAAATACAAATAACAAAAACAAATACCAAGGAGGTAATAAAAAATGGATATACTAATGAAGAAACAAGTTATTATGCAATAAACATATTGAGACAAAAATCCATTCATCCCAATGCAATATTTGGCGAAACAATCACAAGTACAATCATACAGTATAAAGAGGATGAAGGTAGTTATGTATCAAATTGTCTATGTACAACAAATAATTGTAACAAAGACTTTGAGATATGCGCTAATGGATTGAAATATAATAAAGCATGGGTATAAAAGAAGACCGGATGTTCCTTCTATGTAACTTTTCATATTCTGAAAGAAAACTGTAATGGATTAAGTAAATCCGATAGATATAACTGATAAAAATAGTTTTATATTCTGAAATACACGTTAAACAAAAAACTTTGCAGACAAATTCTAAAAATGTTTAGAAAAGTGCTTCCATTATGATCTGACAAAATGCTCAAAAACCATGTACCAAACCCTCTTTTCTAACAGATAATAAACTCTTTAAAAAGGTTAGAGGGTTTCTGACATCTGCAAATGGTCTATGTTATTCATAATTTTGTGAAAAACTCCACTGTTCTATATGCTGTTACTGAGATCAGAGGTTTTTCCACATGAAGTCGTCAGAATATTCATAAGGTGCTGGAAATAAGATCTAAACGAACCTTTTTTTCGCGATATTTATACACGGTTGAATAGAGCTCGAAGAGCTGAGTTATAATATACATATTTTGGTTTTTAACTCATCCGGGCGGAGAAATATTAGAAAAACTAAAATTTTGAAAATCCTGAAAAATACACTAATTTTTAAAAAAAATGCAAAAAATCTGAGGTTACTGCGCTTTGATAACTTTGAAAATATTGGTGTTCCAGGTGAGAAACTGAATCTAACCATATAGTTTGGGCAGCGTCGCATACCTTATCACTAATAAAATTAGTCATTTCTAGGCTATACACAAGCTTTCTTATTATCGGTTATACGAATGAAGTAGATAAATGATCTTCGCTCTTCTTATTTGTTTTTGTTTGTACTCAGCTCGAAATGGTGTCATTCTAGCTCATCTAAAAATTTTTAAAAAAGTTGATTTCGTAACATATTCCTCTACAACTGTACAGCATTTTTTTTCCAAATTACACTATGCTTCTCATTTTTGTTTATGGTTGATAGTATAATTCATAAAATGAGAAAAAAGGATATAATGTGAAATTAAAATTCAGCTTTTTCGGAGAGAGAGGTATCCTATGAAAAATTTGGAGGTGAGAAATTTGAAAAATCCTACTAGACAATGTCTCACTTTTGACTGTACAATTAGGACTAGCATGGGAAATCTGATTTCACAGCAGTGCGTCATTAGAGATTATTGTTTTCTGACTTATGAAAGGAGCGGTAGATACTAAGAATGTATTTCGTCTATGCTACTTACACAGGTGTCTTTTGTCGATTAGATGAGTATGTTTTAGGTAGTTAAAAAGTGTGCTTTTATGAGCCGTTATTAAGTTGTATATTTCTTGTATTACCATTTGGATTGGTTTTAAGACTTTTATATTGTGATGTAAACTAAGCTTCTAAGTTATTTAACAAAGCTCAATTACTCTTATTTAAACATATTTTATGCATTATACATGCAGTATTTAGTAGTCTACATTCTCATTCAAATGAGGGATCAATAATTCATTATCTTTTTTGATTTTTCTTGCGAAGACCTCATCATGCACGTTTCAGCTACCAAGGGTGAGGATAAGGAGTGCCTTTAATTTTAGTGGTGATGAATACGTTGATGTAGTAACTTTACTATAGTAACTTTTATCAGTTTAGAGCTTTTTAATAGGGACGACTTACATAGAACTTTTAATAAGATATTTACGGACTTGATTTTATGTAATCAATAACGAATGGATATGTTAAATGCTCGCATGATTGCATTGTGCGTAAATTATTTCTAATTTTTGTGGAACTAATATCTTGATGTTGTTGACGAAATTCAGTTAATGGTAGGTATTCTATATAATGGTTATTTGTTGATATATGTTTTATTATTTGGTCATAATAACCTGGACGATAAACAACTGCTGTATATATTTTAGTTTAAACTTTATTTATCAATTCGAAATACAAAAAAAAAGAACAGTGAGTAAATAAGATAAAAACAAAAAGTAGAGGTGAGTATTAGGCAGTTTTGCTTCAGATGCATACAAAATCGGCGAACTAGTAAAAAGCGCTAAAGGTTTAGAAGAAAACCTTTGAGGTTTTCTAAAAAAGTCAAAAAATTTCTAGGATTTTTCTTGGTAAATGAAACATCTTTTGACATAAAATAGAAATTTTTTATTTTAACTAAACTCCTCGTGAACGAATAAAAATTTACCTTAAAGCGTTTATTAAGCTTACTAAACCTTGTTATCAAACATGAGTAATCAAACATGAGTAATCATTTCTACCAGCTCAAATACTTGCTGAAGTAAAGTCTTACTTAACTCTATTCTGTGACGTTTTATCTGCTAATGTCAGTGCTTTCGGTATGACCTACGCATTATGGCTGCATCAAAAATATTCCTGTTTTCGAATGAATCACTAACACTTGTTTTATTTAGTGTACAACAACCACTTAAAGGAGAGATTGCAACTGCTTGAGACGGCGCTGGTGGGGAGTCGAGCAAAATCAGATTTTCTGTTGTCGAATTGATTGTGGCTGATGATAAGAAGCATAGGAAGCAGAAGGTGCAAGATCAAAGATCAAGGAAAGAATCATAAAGAACATGAATAGATAGAATTCAGCTTGTATTCTGACAGAATAAAGTTTATATCAACACTAGCTGTATTTGGTTGATTATTTGTATTTAAAAGCGGAGACATTTCTGGAATGCAATTATTTATATTTAAATTATCATTTTGTTTTTGTTTATTAAAATCATCAATTACATTTTCAGTAGATTGTTCAACAATTTTATCAACAACAACGTCAGCGCTTTCGATTAGGGTTGGTAATCGTTCTCCATCCATTATATCACGTTCTTTACAATTTTCCAAAAATCGGGATCTGATCTTGGACGCTGACCATATGGTGACCATATTATTTCATATGGTGTTGTTTTTGTCGTTGGTGGTTCAAAAGTGAGGGCGACAAAGTTTAGAAGCAACCTTGAGAATGAGGATGGTGACGGTGAGGGTAGATGGAAAAAACCAGAAATAATATTTTCTTTGACTCATGATGAGTAACATTCGTTGACGGGTTGAAAGTTTTGCGCAAAGTGGATACTCGCGTCGATATGAGCAAGAGAGAAGGAAATAGACGAAATTTATTCTTTTGTTTTCGACGGTGGATGATTGAAAAAACTCGCAGAGGCATTTTCTTTCACAAAATGTAAACAAGAGAGAACAGAAAAGGCGAAATTTGTTTCGTTCTTGTCAGACGATTGATGGATGAAAAAAAGAACTTGACTGAGTTCGGTGAAGAAAGAGAAGATGCCACGAGCTCAGTTGCCAACAGGGTACAATCAATGAAAACTGCAATCTCCACAGTCACTAGACCTGAAATAACAAACTCGGAAAATACCGGTACGATAGAATACGATAGAGTAAGGTTCAAGAGAGGATTTACGAGAACATTGAACTTGACTTTGAAAAAGAACAACACTTATGGAAACCAAAGGAAAAACAGTCGTCGCAATGCCTTTGATAATAGGTAGACCTACTAAAATCTATGAATGACAGTGGTCACTTCTGTTCTAGCACGGAAACGAGAGCTTCGTCTCTTCGAATATTGACTATCGAAAGACGATATTTTATCGTACTTTTAAAGCATTTTCACATGCAATATGGTAACATGCCAATTTGTTAAAACTTAAGAATTTCACTTTGGATTTTTCGTATGGTACGACTGTCTACGAAACAAATTTTATTGCTTAAAAGCACAAAAGTATGTGTTACATTAAAAAAACTCGCAAGTAGTTAGTATAATAATATAATTTGGTGGCAGTTCGCATAAAAAAGAGTATGCTTGAGTACATGCTTACGTAAAGACATCCACGCTGTATCTGTTGGCCGACATCGTTTCTAGAATCTCTGCTGCCTTCGTCTCATCGCAATGTTTATGCTCGGCAATAATCTTGATAAAGCAGGTTTTCAACGATCCGGCAAGTTTCGTCGCACTTCCACAAGTATAAAAACGTGCACCTTCCGAATAGAATTTGGTAATATATT